AAGCACAGCACTGCTCTTACCATGAATACCACACCACAAACATGTGACAGGGCCTGTCTTCACTTCATCAGGTGAATAAAAGAGTATTCGCAGGCCGGATGTTGCAGCACCAGCACACAGTCTGCCTCACTGCAGCTTTAATGAGGCATTACTGAGATGCCGTAGGTATGGTGTGACATGGAAGAAGTGTACACAAGTGGGAGAAATTGATTTAGGGAGACATGAAGTTGCGTAACACCAGTGCTTTGCTACATGGACATTCATTAACTCTGAAAAGATGATAAAAAACCCCCAATATATTAGCTTCTTGGCCTTGTGATGGTTTCATTTTCATGCAAGAAAAACATCTTTTTTATCTTTTATATTCTCACAGGTTCCATTTCATAGGTGATACAAAAGCATTCAGATACTTTTAGCTGCAAAATTTTCTTTCTTGCTTATGTGAGCATTAGTAGCAAGGATGATAGGGAGATACTATCCAACAGCACAAAGGTATCTAGACAAGGGAAAGCAGCAAATAGCTGGAATCACCGGGGAAAAGCAGCAGTGCTCCATGTCTAGCTGTACTTTTCCACCATGGGAAAATAGTTTTAAGTAGTTCCTCTGCACTTGCAGCAGAGCACAAGTCAGTCCTTACACCACAGAGATGAAAACCACATTCAGACTCACTGCTGCTCCTGTATCACACCAGTTACACACCAGCACTGCATTTCCTACCAAATCCATGGAGCACCTCTCCAGAACGTTAATGAGGTCAGGCAGTGCGCTTCAAGCTGTGTGTCTTAACACAGCTTTAGTTAAGAATCTGAGATAAAAAAAGAAATGCTTTCCCAGGGAAATAGAAATAAGGACTAAAAACAAAAGTTAAAAATCCTGACCCCTGCAGAAACCAAGCTGTTCTAACAGAATAGTCCTTTCACAATTATTTCCATTTCCTTCCTTCATGCATTAAAAGGAAAAAAAAGCCCACTTTGACTGAAAAATGTATGTTAACGTAACTTCAACAGCAGGTCTTCAGAAGACCTGCTCTAGGCTGTCCTTCATGCAGAATATGCACGCTTCAGTTTCAATTAAAATACAGACATCACTGTCCTAAAATTCTCTGAGCTTTTCCATTATTCTGGGGTGAGGGATCTTTTGCATTCTGACCTCTCTTAAACAGCTGCTATCATCCACTGCCTAAAACAAGGTAATGTGTTAGCGTATCATTAATCTGAGCCTATATGATAGCTACTGATTCTTATAGTATCAGAAATTACTAAAACTTCCCAAAATACTCTATGTTGGTGCCAGTTTCCAAGTGGCATATTACTTAGAATCATACAATCACAGACTGGTTTGGGCTGAAGAGACCTTAAAGCTCATCTAGTTCCAGCCCCCTGCCATAGGCAAGGGCACCTTCCACTAGACCAGGTTGCTCCAAGCACTGTCTGACCTGGCCTTGAACACTTCCAGGGATAAGGCAGACACAGCTTCCACAGGTAAGAAATACTTCTTTATACTTTCTTTGGACAGCTGAGTAGAAGTAATGCAAACCCTTCATGCTCTGTGTTTCTGGATGGACAGGACAAGCCTCTGGGCTGTGGTAATATCCCAGCCTCTGCACACAGGAGGCAGCCCTCATGCAGCACTGGGATGTGATTCAGGGTGGTTGTGAAGCCAATAGGGCTGGATCAGAGTCTATTACAGTGTCATGAAGGTCTCACCAGAAACCAAAGGTGCTCTTGGCCTACCCATTATGTATCAGGCTACTCTGCTGGTCGTAAGGACATTTAATCTTGATTTCATTTCTCCTTAGCATACATGAGTTGATAGGAAAGATGAACTGAACTTCATGTGAGACATGTCTCTTTAGAGAGACACATCACTTGATAGACAGGGACATAAAGAACATGACCTGTGCTACTGGCCAGAAGGTAACCATGATTACCCCACAACCACTGTAATTTTGAGTATTCTGTAAGAGCACGCATGCAGGGCATTAGCACAGCCTTCATGGGGGGTGAAGTTCAAGCCAGATTGGTGAAAGTGACTCATCTGGTCACCTGGTCTTTTTGTCATCCCAATTGCATCAAGACAACATAATTTCTGCCCATGAAAGCCCAGAGCAAAAGAGTTCTGTGCTCTCAGACTTGCACCATGCAGGACTGCCTGAAGTACACACCTCCCACAGCAAGGCAATTCATCAAGTTTTGATGAATTAAGGCCTCCAACTTGACCAGTTTTCCTCTCCACTGTGTAAGTGGACCAGATGGTGACTCCAATACTTCTTTACATGTCCATTACATCACACACTGCAGAGTCCTGCAGTGCAAACGGTTCCTCAATCAGCAGGCAGGGGAAACATACTGGGGTTGCTAGCATAGGACACACAGCATCGCTCAGCAAGTGCAACAGCACTTGACTTTATGGATTAGCAACAGAGAAAGCCTAAGTCATATAAAGAGAAAGGTTCTTTTAATTGAAAATGTAAATGCACTTTCACAAAAAATGCAGAGCATTTATCTTGGCTGGAAATTTTGATTTAACTGAAAGTGCATACAATTCACTTATTCCATTATTTCAGAATAAAATATGAGAAAAGTGAAGGTTAATGAATCAAGGTAATGAATTATAACTGAGCCAGAAAAAAGCCTTCCAGCACAGAGACACCATCCCTACAACACTTTCATCCTTTTTTTTCTTCGTCCTTTAGTTAAGCTCCTTTTGCCTTCATGTCCTGCACAAAGTCAAATTCAACATTCTTCCACCTACTGGTCCTGTCTTCTGCCTCTTTCATGTGGAACCAATTCTTGCATTAGCTGGGCCTTTGCAGGAGGTAGAAAAAGTCTATTTATAATTTGTGCAAATACTTTTTTCTGAAATGTCACCATCAGCCCCCAATAACATACAGTAAGAAACCAGCCAGAATGTACATTAACCAGCCATTCCCCTACAGGGACTCAGAGCTGCTTAACCACAAGTATGGATTTGCAAGCGTAATGCCCAGGGCTGAGGCTGCTTTAGCTTATGTACTCAGCATCTGCATTTCTGAAGTATGGATTCTCTTCCCCAGCTGCCAAAATGGCTTTTACTGAAGTTGGAAGTAAGTCAAGGACTAATTCCAACACTCAAGTGTTTGTTTCATCCTATTTAGACTATTAACTCCCAAACTGAATTCTTTACTTCTTGCACAAGCTGCTACTCACAAGTGAATCCTGAAACAGCTCTTATTTTGTATTCAGTCAACAACACGCCTTGTCACATGTATTCTTTGTCTTGACAATCACTAAGAATTAGATCTACTCTTCAGGAAACAGTACATTCCAGGGAAAGGTTTGGCTGGTTTAAATTTGGTGGTTTCATATTGAGAATTCACCTTTAGACAAATAATGAATTGGCTATAGGACATTGTTTTTAAAACCCAGTATTTATAGCTGGTGCAAGTCTCTGATCCGTGTGCTTGAGTGAAGCTGTGTAGAGCTGCATGAGTTGCCAAAAGGTATTCCAGCAGCTCCTAATCCAAAGGACGTGTCTCTCATAGGGGATCCTGTCTTCCAGCCCTTTGCGGATTTGACAAACATCTTATTTAGGCCCAGACACCTCTGTTTAGCCTATAATGTTTTCTTACCTTATTTAGGTTTTGACATAGTGCCTGCTAAATGTAGTAAGAGTCTTTTTATTAGTCCCTGGGAGTTTCTTATTTACATGTGATCACATACCTTGTCCTATGTGTAAGAACAATGGCCAGTTGTCCTGGTTTTGGCTGGAATAGAGTTACTTTTCTTCATAGTAGCTGGTGCAGTGCTGTGTTTAGGCTTTACTCTAAGAACAATGTTGATAACAGACTGATGTTCTGGTTGTTGCTCACTACCATTTACCCTGATCAAGGACTTTTCCATCTCTCACGCTCTGCCAGTGGTGAGGTGAACAGGAAGCCGGGAGGAAGCAGAGACAGGACACCTGACCCGAAATAGCCAAACGGGTATTCCATACCACAGCATGTCGTGCCCAGTATATAAACTGGGGGGAGTTACCCAGAAGGGGCTGATCGCTGCTCAGGTCAGGCTGGGCATCAGTCAGCAAGTGGTGAGCAATCGTATTGTGCATCACTTTTTTATTCCT